CACCTCCGGATCGTCACCCCGGCCCCCCATCGATCTCGAAAGATTTCGCAACCTGTCAGCATCGGAACCGATAAATCCATATGGGCGTCTACCTTACTTATACGAACTCACCGTCTCCGACCTACAGCGAGCACAAACAGGTTTGGGTCATTGGACGATATGTGTATCAAAGCTCGTCATTGAGTCTTGACAGCATCGCCTGGTGTCAACGACGACCAGACCGGCTGCGACCTGTTCTAAGTGTCTAGCATGCAACGACATGTGATCCAAGAAAAGAAATCTAAAGAGAATACATCTCGGCAGCAGTCTTTGCTAGGCAGCACGATTATCACGATTACGCGCCATCCGAGACGCTTTTCACTGCATGTTTTGCCCACCAGCCACTGGCCCATGGACGGCTATCGGAGCTCCTCCGTTGGTCCGTAGCCCACCGGAACTCCCTTCGGCTGTCGCTTCTCTAACCGGCGCATTTTTCCCTTCCTTCAAGGCTCTGAGTCGCTTCTACCAACGGGTCAGCCAACTTGTGATGGCTTTCTCCCACAACTTTTCTACCATCACCTTCTTAGAATCGACTTTCCTATGTAGTAGGATATCGGCGTCTTCCTGGCTTTCGGACACAAGGCACCTGCTTCCTGCTTGCTCGAACCGGCGCTTGCAAGCTCGGTACCGGACGTCGACTGGAACCCAGAGAGCAGCCTTGTAGTAGTTGTAACACAATTCCGGTATGCTACCTCCACTAGGTATCGAGTTCGGCGTAAAGGCTATGTTTTGGCTGAAGAGGTGTCGGGGTTGTACTTGATGCCCGCATTTACTGTTAACGAGCTCTTGTCGACAAAACCGGCAGCTCATATTATCCTGGAGCCACAACTCCAAACACTGCGCTCCCGCTACGTGCCTGCAGGGCAATATCGCGGGGACACTTCCTCATAGCTCCACGTTCAGGCCTCTCGCCTCTGCCTCACTACAGAGCGCCAGCTGACTATGATGACAAATTTGGCAGACAAGATCTCCCGGCTTGTCAATCAGGAAGGTGATTTTCGGGCTGGGGAAGAAGCATCTCCCCACATCACGAACTTCGGGCCGCTAAGGCCTCAACCAGCCGCTGACAAACGGAAGGAACGTATCCTTCAGCCAAGGACCCTCATTATTCCCACGTTTCTTACTACGCCTTGTCATGAGATATCGGCGCCGAACAGTCGCAAACCCCGGAATGCTGGCCATTATTCGCTGTGGCGACTTCTTTCCGTACTTCGATGCGTGCTATACTGAGCAAGACGTTTAAGCCGGTATCTGACGTGTTGACGGCTTGGACGGCAGGCATGTTTTCTGGCACTGGATCTCTCAATAAGTCCCTGAGGTCCGGCAACGCCTTTGAATGACCAAACCGCCGAGGATAGACGGTGGCATTGTTTGAATATTTCCACACTTTCATCCAAGTTCCTTGCTCAAAATCTCATAAAGAAGACAATACAACGAAATATCGCACAATCCTCTGTCTCGCAGAATAACGACACTGGAGGAACATAAAGGTAAGATAAGAATGAACACCGATCAGATACTTGGAGCAAGGAACTACACCTCATCCGTGCGTACCTAAAGACGAGCAAGTCCAGTGAGCGCTTACTGGGGGAGGGGGGGTTTCGGGATAGGGCTCAAAGAAATGAAAAGTCAATCTCCTGGTCACTGATGAAACAACTTCAAATGACCACAGCAAGCAACGCAGCTTGCTGTGGTGTGAGCTTGGGAGGAATCAAAACACCCGCCAGCAATAGGGTCTACTTGAAGAGTTGCCCTGCTTTGAGCTATGGCGATTTTACCAAGTCATGAAACGGGTCGTTACCAACACCTACCCACATGACAGCCTCACTCGAGAAACAGTACGGAGGGTGGTGAGCCCGACCTCCGAACAGCATCGAATGAGTGTGCCACGAAATCACTGGGGCTTGCTGCCGCCTCGCCACCTGAATTCAGGAGGGCTCAAAATTGGTCCATCGAGGTCCAGCCCAACCGCTGCGATGGATGTGAGTTTCGAAGGCTGATTGGTGGTATCTTATGTTTGCCACCTGTTGCCCATCGGAGCCTCCCTTGAAATCAGTGCCAATGGTCGTGGCCATGAGCTTCGGTACCTTATCCAAGGTAACATGCTCCCGGCTGAACAAATCCCCGCAGGTGTTTGGGCTGTAGTCCTCGTCTGCGCACCCAAATATATCGGGACTTGAGAGAGGTGTACTGTCCACGCTGTGGAAGCAAAAGCAGCCATTGTGGTCCTACGTGTAGTCCTGCAAAGGGCTGACGAGAACCAAGCTCTCCCGCTCAATCATATGGCCTGGCCGCCGGGGTAACCTTGAAAATTTGAATCCCAGAATTCTCCCTCGCTTTTCGGGAGGGAGTCTTGTGACTAAAAGTGTGGTTAGCATCTTGCGCATCCACAAAAGGCGTAGGATGTTGGTCATTGAATCTGTCGTCGACTTGGAGCTTTCGTAAGACTCAGATCAGATGTTGGGCCACAGTCAGCATACTTCCAGGACTCTGGACTCTGTCTCTTCCCCTCTTCGCATCGTGATCTAGATCTCGGTAGTGAACGCCAGTTTGATCTGACACGATAGCGTGCGATAGCCGAGACCTTTTATTTGTCGAGGTCTGGAAAGTCTCTCTATCCAGAACTGGCGTCGGCCGCCTCCCCCGCCTTTGCACATGTGCACTTACAGACGTTTAGGTATTACTGCTCTATTCAGACATACCTCTGAGACCGGCCCAGGGGTCCAGGATACACCAATTTTCAAGCCCAACAACTTCTAGACTTTGGGCTAGGGAGGGCAAAGCGGGCAGACCGCTTCCCAGACCACAGCCTTCATGCTAGGCACGAGGCGTTGTCAAGCACTCAAGCTGCAATCTGCACAAGAGAGGATGCTTCAGTCAGCTCACTATGAGAATGAAGGATCAAAATCAAGCCATATGCTTGTGACAAAGCAATGACTCCCCCTTAATGCCTCATCCTGCTACTGCATTAGTGATGTTGCACAGCGTTCGCGATGTTGTGCTGCAGCCTGTCCGTCCGGCCGGCCCCTTGACCGACTAAGATCGGCGAGAGTGCGTTGAGTGCTTTGAGTGCTGCCCCCATCCCGTTTCTTGATTCCCACAGGCTTCCATGTAGACGCGTCATTCGCCTGGTGCATGAGATGGAGAGGCTCTTGCCCAGACGGGCGTGATGTTGCAAAGAGCTGCAAAAGGTAGACTGGCTGGCTGGCGGGGCGGGAGTACCGCTGATGTTTGGGGGGCCGAAGCCTCGAGGCGGCGCCCCCCCTATTGCGAGCCTGTGTTTACAGCGTGGTCAGGTCCAGGAAAAGGCTAGTTTTCCTCAACCTTAACTAAGATTGAAGAATGGGAAAATAGTGATATGTGAGCATATTGTGCGTATCCGTACAAAGTGTGTAGCTTCACTTCTTGGACTAACGCAGACTAGGGCAAACATGAACGAAGGATAGATTTGCTATGGGGGCCTCTGAATTGTTCTAACCATTCCATGTATAAAGGATTCATGTGTTCTTGAAAGTTCGGAGAATATGTCGGTCTTGAGCGTAACAGTCCCGGCCGAAGGGGTGAAGAGGCTAAATCATGCCACGGGTATTATACTTGCCACTATTTTTCTCATCCCTAAGGTAGCGAGGCGCGCCGCGAAGATCTTGGGTCTTTAGGTTTTCTATCCGCGCATACAAAAGAATGGTTATAGGTCTTGAGCGAAATGAGACTCGAAACAAATTGACATTCTCTGCTTCAGCACACTCAAGCAGGTAAGTAGATGACACGGACCGAGGATCCCTGGACCCGCCCCTCCCATTCCTGGGGACGAGCGTTCCCAGCAATATCAGGCCACATCAAAATCCACAAAATGACAGTTCTTTGAGCTATAAAAACATAAAGTTCCAAAACGACCATCTAACAATATGACGTTGGAATGGGGCAGAGGCAGGTATCTCGGCCATTGGCACAGGGAGCACTATGTATGTGTGAACAGAACTTAGATTGCCTGCCTCTCTCCCCGCCCTTGACCATAAGCGAGATGCGCCACAGGTGGTACTAATTTATACATCATGTTGTTTATTTCCTTTTTCGCATCTTGTGATACAACATCTTTCCAGCAAAACTTGGTTGAGGTAAGTTTGCTTTCTTGTACGAGGCTGAAGATGGTATCATGTGTGTAGGTAAAGCCGGCTCCTCACAAAGAAATTTAAAGCACATGACTGGAATCAAAAAGATATAGACAGTCTCAATGGACCACTCGTTCCCTGGTCGCTCGTCGACGTCTTTAATGGAATCTGCTCGATGAGCTGTCGGGAATAACACGATTCTTTGCCTGTCTCAATTTCTTTGAGACTCTAGGCAATAGGACAAAGTATAGGGAAATTTGAGAAAACAAGGCCTTGAAAGAAATATCCAGCACTTGGAGCAATGCTTTCAGGTCGTTCTTGGTCAGTGCCCATCCTCTTCTCAGATGAAAGCTCGGGAGAGAAAGAGACGAACTGGAAGTCAGATCATGGCCTGAGCGTCACCCTAAGGAATCTCACCTTCGGTGAGCCACAGCCATCGAGTCAATCAGACCGAAGTCGGCATGGTCCGGAGTTCGGCATCTTTCGGCTTCCCCACAATCAAATTTACGGCGGATACAGGCCTCAGGGCCTCTTACAGGTTCTCCACCGTCTCTCAGTGCCAGTGTCAATTCGGGCGCCAGTTGTGAGAGCCGGCCGCGGGCAGGCAATAGCGTCATTTTCTCCAGTATCTTTTACCTGGCCGACCAGTCTATTTTTGTTGATTTCACACAACACCTTCAATCCCACGAGACATCTCCGAAGCGGCTTGGTTTTGTCCCTCAACACAGCGACAACAATCATCTCACAGCGCGCGCATGCTTGCAACATGCATTTTTCTTGTCGATACCCATAGACCTTTTTTTTATTTTATATTTGACTTTTGTTCATCTTGGTCCCTCTTGACCAGCTACCATGCGCCGTGCAGCTGCATCCTCATTTCCCCTCCGCCAAGTGGGCGCATCGCTCAACGGCTCTGCCGCCACAAACCGAGGCCTCACGCAGCAGGCCATCCTGCGACGCTCCTTATGCACAACTTGCCTTGCTAGCAGACACATCACCAGCGCTAGAAGGTTCCGTCCATCGCCGAGTATTCTTACGCAACAAACCAGAAATGGGGGCCAGAGGAGAACGGCATCGGCGGTAGCGACAGCGACAGAGGGAAACAGGGGTGAGGAACCAGAATCACCAAAAGAGTTTGGTGGCGCAAGAGAGGCTAATGAGAAGGCAGCCGCAAAAGATGACCATGGCCCGATACAAGAATACGACCGCCGAGTTGACAACGGCATTTTGCGCAACGACGAGCATCAGAGGGGCAAGTTTGCGCTCCCTGTAGCCGACATTGGCGGGTGGGGAGTATCACATGCTGACGACGGACAGGTATCATCCAGAGCCTCCAGCACCTCCACGACGAGCTGGTCAACTACAATGCGCCCGAAGTGAAGCAGCCGACTCTCGAGTCCATCAAGCCCGCAAAGTCCATGTTCGGATCCTGGTTCGGCGGGGGAAAGGCTGCCGAGGCCGCGATAGGAGCGATCCCGAGCAACCTGCCCCGCGGGCTGTACCTCTTTGGTGACGTCGGTAGCGGCAAGACGATGCTCATGGATCTATTTTACGACACGCTGCCGAGCTCCGTCAAGACCAAGACGCGCATCCACTTCCACAACTTCATGCAGGATGTCCACAAGCGGCTACACAAGATGAAGATGCAGCACGGCAACGACGTCGATGCCGTTCCCTTTGTGGCAGCGCAGATCGCGGCGCAGGGCAATGTTCTCTGTTTTGACGAGTTTCAGTGTACCGACGTAGCAGACGCCATGATTCTGAGAAGGTGAGCTAGAACGGGAATACGCGCGCGAAATTAGGAACATGTCGCATACTGACGCCCTGGGTGGTCAGATTACTAGAAGCGCTCATGTCACACGGCGTCGTACTGGTCACGACATCGAACCGGCACCCCGACGAGCTCTACAAGAACGGCATCCAGCGAGAATCCTTCATCCCCGCGATCAAGCTGCTCAAGAGCAGGCTCCACGTCATCAACCTGGACTCCCCGACAGACTACCGCAAGATCCCGAGACCGCCCTCGGGGGTCTACCACACCCCGCTCGACGCGCACGCGACCTCCCACGCCGAGAAGTGGTTCCGCTTCCTGGGCGACCCGGAGAACCCGGAGCCGCACCCGGAGGTGCAGAACGTCTGGGGCCGCGAGATCCACGTGCCGCGCGTGAGCGGCCGCTGCGCGTGGTTCACGTTTGACGAGCTCATCGGCAAGGCGACCTCGGCGGCGGATTACCTCGAGCTGGTGCGTAACTACGACGCCTTTGTCATCACCGACTGTCCGGGCATGACGTACCGCCAGCGCGACCTCGCTCGACGCTTCATCACCTTCATCGACGCTGTGTACGAGTCGCACGCGAAGCTGGTGTTGACGACGGAGAAGCCCCTGACGGAGCTGTTCGTCTCCCGCGCCGAGCTGGAGGAGTCGCTGGAGAAGCAAGGGAAGAAGGACGAGGCCGGACAACAGAGCGGCGACACCGCGGCGGCGACGCATCTCCTGGAAGACCTGGACCACAATATCGACTCCATCAAGGGCATGTCGGGCCTGTTCTCGGGCGACGAGGAGGCGTTTGCGTTTGCGCGCGCGCTGTCGCGTCTGAGCCACATGGGCAGCAAGGAGTGGGTTGAGCGCGGCATGGGGTTGGAGCAGCAGGGCGGCAAGAAGGAGCGCGACGACTGGGCCAAGGTCCGGAGTCGGCAGATGGAGGACAGCATGTAGAAGCGAGCGTTGTTTTAAACGTGAAGGGGACGGCATTTTACCCGTTTGACCACCCCCTTTTCGGCTGGGACGCTGCTAGCTTTGGGCTGCGTCATGGCTGTAACCGTTGGGAAAAGGTGGCTCACTTGCTCCTTATATCTTACCCGGCCCAGGTATTTATGTGGTGGCAGGTGCCAACGGCCCCCCTTTTCGTCTTTCTCATGAGCGTTGGGTTTGTTTATGATGCTACGGCAGTTCTGCATTTACGGGAAACTCGCATATCTCGGCCGAGAGGTCTGTGTATATAAATCATCCGCGTTCGAGAAATAATTCCTCGACTCAGTCAAGACCGCACACCTCGTTGGTCGGCATTCACCTCACATTGTCATTGTTTGGCCAAACTTGCTCTCGAAGGTCACAAATATGTGGAAAAATTATTATGATTGTATCATTTACGGCAAACTAGTAAATACCAGGAAGCAGAACCCAGGGCACTTCCCTCTTAAAGTCAACCCACTGCTCGCCGTACCTCTTGGAGCAGTACTCATTCAACGCCGGCACGCCGCGCGTTAGGAAATCAACCGCCTGCCACACGCCCATGATCGTACCCCCGATGAACCCGGACGCCGCCATGCAGTAACCCGCCCTCCAGAGCGCGTACCCGCCGTAGTTGATGTGGCGCGCCAGCTTCCAGAGCCCACCACGCATGACTTTACCCTTGTTCTCGGGCCGTGCCTTGAACTGCTTGCGCTGCCACTCGGACGCCGTCTCGAGGAACATGCCGACGCCGTAGAGGACGCTTCCCAAGACGACCTGGTACGGCAAAGAGGTACCCGGGAAGTCACGCGGGGAGGTGAGGACGGAGGTGGACGCCGCGAGGAGGAGGAGGGAGTTTGCGCTGTTGACGAGGGTGTTGTAGAAGCTCACGCCGGCGGCGGATCCGGGAGGGAATTCCTCGGCGGAGAGGCCGACGAGCCAGTAGGCTTGTTTGACGAAGGAGCCGACGGACATGCCGAGGAGGATGAGGTGCGGGAGCGGCAGGTGGAGGTCGTCGAGGATGGCGACGCCGGTCGTGGAGAGGGCGGCTACGTTGAGGGGGATGGTGTTGATGCCGATTTTGGCGAGGGCGGCGGCGCCCCAGCCGCCGGCGACGAGCTTGTATTGGAAGAAGGGGTCGAGGCCCCGGAGGCCGAGGAAGGTGAGGGTTCCGGGCACATTGGACTTTTTGACGCCGCGTTTGATGAGGTCATAATTTGGTTTCTCGGATTTGGAGGCCGCCATCTTGGAAGGCACCACTCGTTCGTGCGCAATTGAGCTTAGATGGATGTAGTAGGGCTGGTGTTCGAGATGGCTAGATTCCAAGGAATGTCGTTGAGATATATCGTGAGCCTGTCTGGCTTGGCTCACAAGGTCGGACGAATGCAGGAGGAACACATGCAGGTCATCTCACTAGGAATGCGCGGGCGGCTGCAACCAGCGCTTTATACACGCGGCGGGGATGCGCTTGGGGAACCTGCGGTTGCTCCCCTCATGATATCATTTACTGCCTGAGGATGGAAAGGAACAGGTCCAAGCCCGGCGTCTGTTCGCTCGTTCAACGTTGTCGGGAGTTCGGGATGGGACTCCATGTTGTATAGGTAGCGGCTGTCACACATGGTAGATGTTTGGTGTTCAGACGAGCTTAAAGAGGTAAGTCGGTACCGGTGTCCGATGAGCACCGAAGCGCCCCACGAACGGGATGACGGGCTGCGGGCCTTGAAAACGGGTGATACCCTTTGTGTCTTTTGTGCTGACAAACCCACCTTGTGGCATGGGGCTGCGATTAACCATGAACCATGATTTTAAAGATATTACGACAGGATATCAGCATGTTTTGAGTGAGGAATCGGGCCACTGTCGAGTATCCAGAGAGTGCCAAACTGCAGAGAGGCCCCCCGCGACCCTCCAACGGACCAGATGCCGAGTCCGAGACACAATGGAGCACATAGACCCGCTCCGACGCGCTCTAGCCTCCGTGAGCAACGAGTGCGGGCAGCCCAAGGCGATGCGGAATTGGCCTTCCCCAGGCGCCAACCCAAGTACATGCGACCACACCCGTTGGAGAACTCGAGATCCCGTCCGCTCTCTCCTAGATAAACCAGCGAGGGCCAGAGTAGTAGTCGGGTCGGAGACGACCGTCGAATGCCTGGTGTTGCATGTTTTCTTCTTTCCTTTTTTTGGCGGGAGGGAATGAGGAGTATCAGAGTGACTGACGGCTGAGCATCATCAAAAGGTGCCTGCGTTGATTGGCTCGCTGAGCCGAAAGCTGCTCAGTAAGGTAGGTACCTTGGAGCTCTCAATCGGGTCATTCCCGAATGGGATACCTTAGCTGGGCTTGCCTTGCACAACCAGGCTGTGTCAGTCCACAATACACAGTCGGCTGGAAATACGTTGCGAAGCAGCGAAACTGAGTCTCGTACGGATATCATAGCAGTGGTCACTTTTACCTGACTGTGTATAGATGACGACGAAGGAACCGTTGAATCAAGTAAGGCACTCCAACCAAAGGAAGACCTTGATTAGGTAAGACACCTCATCTGTTCCGGCCTAACGGACATCCGAGGTACGTACCTAAGGCAAGGTACCCGCTTGCATGGAAGCATTGGTGGCGTGCCAGGCACCCAGGCAACCCGCGGGGAATGTGTGAGGATGGATTCGAGACAGGGGAGCTTGCCGAGCTGTCGCAGACCTGCTGACGCTTAGCTAGGTACCTTATCTTATCTAGGCACCTATCAGTGCTGCCGACATGACGCCAGCCATCTTCCCGTCCCCTTCAACAACATTCACCTGAATACCTCTCACACCTCCCACATCATCCCCAGATTGTACTATCACACAACCATACTATCCATTCAAGATGAAGGTCGCCAAAGCTTTGCCTCTTGCTGTGCTGGCCCACTCGGTCAGCGCTCGCTTCGTTGCTGAGGAGGAGATCAACCGTGTCCAGCTGTATCCCGCCGGCTCCGAGCCCGAGAAGTACCTGATCGAACTCGCCCCAGGCAACACTCGCTGGGTGACTGAGGAGGAGAAGTGGGAGCTTCGCAGAGTATGATTCCCTCATCGCCGCTGCTTTTACTTGCCGGAAGTGCTGATGTGACGTCTTGCAGAACGGAAACCGCTTCTTCGATATCACCGACCACAAGGAGTTCGGCGCAAATCGCCTCCACACCAAGACGAAGAAGAGCGTCTTCCCCGAGAAGTGTCGCCTCCAGGACAAGGTTAAGCCTCTCATCAAGGACCTTGACAAGAAGGAGATCCAGACCAACCTGGAGAAGTTCACGAGCTTTCACACCCGCTACTTCAAGTCCGACTACGGCCGCCAGTCTTCCGAATGGCTTCTGGCTAAGCTGAATACCATCATCAAGGACGCCGGCGCTGACAAGCATGTCTATGCCGAGGCCTTCCCCCACACCTGGCAACAGAGCTCTATCATTGTTACCATCCCGGGCAAGTCTAATAGCACCGTCGTCATCGGTGCGCACCAGGATTCTATCAACCTGTGGCTGCCTTCCATTCTCGCCGCACCAGGTGCCGATGACGATGGCAGTGGCTCCATGACCATTCTCGAAGCTTTCCGCACCCTCCTCAAGTCCAAGGATGTCGTTTCTGGCAAGGCCGACAACACCATCGAGTTCCACTGGTACAGCGCCGAGGAGGGCGGTCTTCTTGGTAGCCAGGCCATCTTCTCGTCTTACGAGCAGGATGGACGTGACATCAAGGCTATGCTCCAGCAGGACATGACTGGATTTGTGCAAGGAACGCTTGACGCTGGAAAGCCTGAGAGCGTCGGTGTCATTACCGACTTTGTTGATCCCGGCTTGACCGGCTTCATCAAGAAGGTCATCGTCGAGGTAAGTCATAATGAACTCCAATAGGTGCCAGCACAAGGTTGTACTAACAGAACCATAGTACTGCAAGGTTCCCTACGTCGAGACCAAGTGTGGGTACGCCTGCTCCGACCATGCCTCTGCAAGCAAGGCTGGTTACCCATCCGCCTTCGTGATCGAGTCCGCCTTTGAGGACTCTGACAAGCACATCCACAGCACCGACGACAACATCAAGTACCTGTCATTTGACCACATGCTTGAGCACGCCAAGATGACCCTCGGTCTTGTGTACGAGCTCGGTTTCACCGACTTTGCCGCTCTGGAGAAGCAGGGCCAGGTTTCCGAGGAGTTGTAACTGGCTGGATGAATGACGCATATGCACGATATTAGTTACGATGCTCTACGTATTTTGAATAGATGATGCTTTCATGCGATGAAATTACGTCTCATCACTCCCGCCCTTGAAGTCGCTTGAATGACTAAATTGCCCTCAAACGCTCTTGTTCTCCGGCCCATTCACGGCAGAAGAGTTACTCCATGGAGCCGAAATGCGGGCTTTCTGTAAGCTCTTCCATTCACCGCGTGTAGTCAGTCTTCGCTATGAAGAGGCGGCCCCATCATCAACGGTGCGTTGATGTTCATCTGGAAAGAGGCACTCATGGGCGAGTAGTGAGATGCGGACAATATTTGGTTAATGTTATGTTTCAACTGCGAACAAGTTCACACAAAATTTATTTCTGATACCCCATGATATCCTCATACATTTATCATCGGATCAGATTCACTATCTGAACTGTCTTGTGAAGATAAACGGCAGTGCCTTTGGTTTACAAGTGCGTTTTGGTTCATGATATGCTTACATGCTGCATTCAGTCACACAGTTGATATCTCAGTGAAGGCGTTCGCTCAACGAAGCCGTCAGCAAGTGGTCCTGGTCGCCCACTGCTGTCTGACTTTGCGACAGAACAATAGCACATTTTAAGCTCTCAATGACTTGAATTGACTCGGTGCCAAGAGACAAGTTGCCGTTTCTCGGGGGCTGCGTGTAAAGATGGCTTAAATAAGCTCTCTAGAACCAATAGGTAAGCTACCTGCGTGAGTCGCCTGGTTTTCCATTCATCAAACTAGCTGCATAGGGCCCGCCCCAAGATGTCTCTCGGCTGCAGTCTTGCTCTTGGTCCTAGGCTTACGAACCTTGGCAGGTAAGGAAGGTACCTAGGTAAGGTAGGTACTGGGGCGATGTCACTGACGTGCATGCGGCGGCAAGTAACCATTCCATAAAGGTTCTGCTCTGGGGAAGCGACGTTGGAATTGGGACTGACACATGGTTCAGTTGCTTCCAGCACTTCTCCGATGGGTCTAGGCTACAGAGTGGGGCGGTTTTGTACAGACGCCCGCCGCACAGGGGGTCTAAGCTCGCTCCGGCCCAGTCTGCCGATTCGATACCTCCTGCAAACCTGCAACCCAGATTCTGTACTTTCCTACTCCACCTCTCAACTTTACATCAACATCATCCAAACCACCACCGCTTCAGCTCAACGTCTTATCCTTTTCGATTTCACTCATAACAGGGCCCAGCACGTTTCTTTGCTTTCCATTGCTTAGCCTGATCAAATTTTCGGCAATCTGTCTCTGCATGTGTGCCAAGACAGTATCGGCAACATACGAACACTGCGGACAAAGGCAGCTTGCACTGCTTGCCTCGAGTCAGTGCGTCTTGCACACCCGCAACGAAACACATCTCATTGCCGACTGCTTGTCATTAAACCCCGCATTGAGCATCAGCAAACATGGAGGAACCCCAGGAGCCGAAAGAGCATGCAATCGCCACAGCTCCATATAGTCACAGGCCCCCCAGTCCTCCCTATATACCCATTCCCATGACATTTGCTAAGGGCAACGCTACTTGCGCCTTTACCCCCTCATTCAACAATGTCGATGCCATGCGCCTCACAAGCGAAGATCTCCGAATCATAACCCGGGACAAGACGCAGACTGCCACAGACAGATCAGTTGGCTGGAACTACGAGGCTCGACGCAAGGCACAGACGCTCCTGGACTTCCTCTATCTCGGCCCTTTATCCGTTGCTCGTGACGAAGCTTGGCTTGCCAAGGAGGGAGTCACCATGGTCATTGTTACACGACATGCCAGGGTGGCTCAAGCTCGACTGATGAGTGTCGACAAGGTCGCGCAGAAGCTCGGCATGCAGGTCGAATACTTGGACGTCTTGGACAACTCTGAACTGATCCGCGGCTTCCCAGAGGTGGTGAGAAAGATCAATGGGCATTTGATCGATGTGTATCGTAGTCAAGTCGTGGGTGCACAGGAAGGTCGAATGGCAGTCGACGACGAAAGCTTTAGGAGTGGCAAGATTCTTCTTGTTTGCGAAACAGGCAACGACCGGTCAGCTTTCGTCGCTGCAGCTTACATCATGACCATGTACGGAAAGGACATGATCTCTTCCGTGCAATTTGTCTCCATGCAACGATTCTCTGCCAACTTCGACGAGGATGGAAAGAGGATGCTACAAGCATACGAAGATATTCTCAATGCCCAGAGAAGCGTCTCTAGTGTGACCAGAGATGTTCCTCGAGCCGGCCAGTCGCAAGGATACAGCGGCAGAGGCGGCAAGCGCGGAATCGAAACGACCCTTGACGAAGAGGACAGGCAGGGCGGAGGATATGAGACATTCGCTGCGGACCGCGAGCGGTACCAGGACAGGGACAAATTTGCTCCGTTTCGTGATCGCGATACAGTCGCGTAGGGACGGCTTCAGTCGATTGCAGACACCTGGAGCCGAAGAGATTTGTAGTGGAGGCATTGCATCATTGGCTTTGGCGTCAGCAGGAAGACCGCCATCAGCCGGCATTAGGAGCAGACTCATCGAGGGGAATTAGAACTTTGCTTTGGGAACATGGATAGGCGTCAAAGGTGTCAGTCAGTATACCCGTTTCAGTCGGCAACGACTCTCTTCTAGGGCAGTTTAGACCTGCTTTCACCATTATCAGAATCCAGCATTTACACGGTCTCAAATAACGCCCATTCCTAAGATGATTCGTTGTGTAGATACGCTCTGTATAAAAGTTCACATACAATGAGTATAGTCAGAAGTATGAACACATGACCAACGGACATGTTGGTCAAATCGGTGCCATGGACTTTTACATCAATATGAGTTGTTTGTACTTCTGTTAGGTCAGGTCATGAGTTGTTCTTGTCTCATCCTTCATATTTCCTCAGTAAAACAATCATCGAAAGGATGCGGATCCTGATACAGAGGGAACCAGTTCTCTGTGCTCATCTTCAGGACAATTATACCATGCCATCGGGACAGACTGACCCCCTGGGCCAGTAAACAAGCCTGCAGGAGGCTCTCCCATGGGGAGGGACTGACCTCCGGTGAACCTCAGGTCGCAGGACTCATCTCATCTCACCTCACCCTACACCCAACCCTTCCACGACAACGAGGAAGGAGCAACTGCCTCATTATTTTTCCTGAAGAGCCCCACTGCTCCTTCTTCATACATCCCACTCACCAACGCGAGATTTCTGGTCAAAACAATCTCACTTGCCTGTCAACAATCCATCTTTACACACTCACACAAACCTCTCTCTCTCTCTCTCTCTCTCTCTCAACCCACACCTCACTTTCCCACTACCATTTCACTTTACCTCACCCACCACCATTCCGAATTGATCACACTCACCATCATCAGTTCTTTTGTGGTCGCTGCTACTCTCCCAATCCGCTCCCAGCGGAATATCGCATACTAATACCCATCGAAAGATGGAGGAAGCGGGCGGCCGGAGGCGTGCGCTGCGGCGCTCGACTCAAGCAGTTCAGAGGGGAAGATACCAGGATCCGTATGCGCTCGGGGTTCAAAGGCCGGCCTGGGTTCACCCAGACCCGGTCTTTGACCCCGGCGCGGCTCGTTGGGCGTCCTTCCCAACCATTCCCCTGGACCAGCGCGGTCCGGGGGACGAGTATGTGGAGGCAAGAGACCAGGGCGAGCTGGACGCCTGGCTGCGGGAGCAGAACCCCTCCCCCGAGCACTTCAGTGACAACGGTAATTACTTCTTCCCCCTACTCATCGTATATCCCGCTGATTATCTGCAGAGGAGGAGGAGGAGGATGAGAGGCCGGTGGGCGTGCGTGAGGCTAAGGGCGAGGGCGAGGGCGAGGACGAGGGGACAAGCATGGACTGGGGCAGCCCAGAGCCTGGGGAGGTTGAGCCCATTGCCTGGGCTCACCTCGGCCACGGCGCCCAATGGGTCTTGCTGGAGGTCATCTGTGAATCAGAGACTTTTGCTTCGGCAACCCGGGCTCTGGGCCTCACCACTCCAGAGGTCATTGACTTTGTTGTGGTCTATATCCAGTACCACCGCCAGGTCCAGGAGTGGGCGGAGATGTGCGACAAGATGCACGCCTCTGAACTCCTCGGCCTGATCCATGGCCAAGTGCCCCCGAGAGACGGCATGAATGTTCTGCACCAGCCGGATCTTCCCACTCACACCATCAAGCCCAATGAGTACGAGAAGGCCTGCCAGTACTTGCGCCAAATTGGATTAGGCGAGTGCATTCAAGCACTTGAGAAGTGCCGAGGGATATCAGAGGGCTTCCTTCAGATTCCCATCGAGCGAGAGATTCTGGCCTCCTGCATTGCCATCCTCGAGAAAGGCAAGAGTGGTTCGGATTTGCACGACATCGACATTCCTCGTTACAATGGACTGCAACCTTTGCACAATCAGTTCGACGAGAAGCACTACGAATTGGTGAACCTGGTGATGCATATTCAAGCATACCTCCCTCACTTGGATCTTACGAAGGGCAGCCAGGCGAGCACATCGTCTGCAACCAATCCGACAGAGCAGCACGACCCTCCTGCATCAGAGTCAGCGAGTGAGCCTCACAATGCCGGACAAGTATACACTCAGAACAACCCAATGTTTGGCAAGAACAACCAGGTAAGATCCTTCTCATTCTTTCGTCTCCATGTCTCCCTTTGTAGTTCATCCGTTGTTCTTGGCGTGAACCTCAGTGGCTCTCGCCTTTGAAGTTAAGACGAGAACAAGACTAACAGTCAGCAGTTCGCATGGGTCTTTGATAACTTGGACATGAACGAGCTTTACAATCCCACCGAAGTCCACAAGTATCGCAACCGTCCCACTGTCTCGTATGAGAGCTCCCAGTCTGCTGCCGATGGCAACCCTGAGGTCACTCAGGTGCAGGAGCATGGTCAATATGAGGAGCACCCGCTTCTCGGTGATCAAGTATTCGACGAGGCATCCCACGAGGCTCAAGACAACAATCTGCCGACTGTTCCCTTATTTCCTTTTGAAGGACTCCTACCCGAGGCAGAGGAGCTTATGCCCTGCCCTTTCTTCGCAGAGCCAGAGCTGCCCGTGGACCATACCCGCAACTTTACGAACCCGCCTCTCCCCGTATTGCAGGCTCATACTGATGGCCAGTTGATTCCACAGAGCGCAAGCTCGGCGGTGCCTCAGCCCTTCATTTCTTATATAGATGAGGTGGACCCCAACAGGAAGCCTTCGGACTTACCTGCCTACGAATATTTCCAGTCAGCTGATTACAAGCAACATCTCTACAGCGGAAAGCCCGATTGGTACGTCGATGAGATGTTACTTCCAGTTGTCCGACCGGAGATGCCAGCTATCCAGGCGACCTCTCATCAGAGTGTTGCTCAGGAGGCCAGTCATCAGGAGGGCAACCTTGAGGCGGACGCGAATATCGACTCGAATGCCAACTCAAACGCGACCTCCATCGCCAACCCTCACGCCAACTCGAATGCCGACGCGAACGCGAACCAGAGCACCAACCCGAACACAAACTCGAACATGGACCTTTCGCATCCGATGTCGAGCACCGATACGTCAGAAGTCCCTGGCGTATCTGAAGTCTCTGGCGCACCTGCGATATCTGGAGCCTCTGCGGTCTCTCAAGCCCCCAATCTCTTCGAAGCCCCCAGATTTTCTGCAGTCCCCAATATTCCCCAGAGCTCTACATTCGCTGAGGCGTCCAAGATATCTAGAGTCCCTGGAAGCTCTAAGATATCTGCAGCATCCACAGCAAAAGAGCCTCGCTTCGCCTTGAAGGCTCCCATGCTTCCAGACCAAGAAGAAATCACTTTCTACAATACCCCTGCGTTTGTCGTCAGAGGCTCGCGCCCGCGCACTGTCATCGATCTGACTGATGATTCTGCTAGAGGTATGGCTGGTACTCCTGCGAGACCTATGATCAATACCCCAGCGAGACCCGTGGTCGCTCCTCCATCGAGACAGACCAACACAGCCCGAACTCCGGCTATGCGCATGGATAGTCCCGAGGCTCCATACACCAAGACCTCTACCAAGCCAACCCGCAAGCGCGCGGCTGATGATAGCGATGGTGACTACGTTCCCAAGCCCAAGAGAGCCCGCCCTTCAAAGAAGGCTGCGGCCGTTCCGCAGACTCTGCCTCAGCCGCAGGTGATGGGTCCTGATGGAGTACTCATACCCATCAAGCGTGGCCGAGGACGTCCTCGCAAGTATCACAGACCTGAGGACATCGCCGCCGCGCAGGCAGCTGCGAATCAAGCTGCTGCGAACCAGACTGCTGCGAACCAGACCGCTGCGAACCAGACTGCTGCGAACCAAGCCACGGCGAACCAAGCTACGAACCAGGCGACGGCTATGCAGACCCCCGCGAACAGTTCTCCCGTTCTGAACGCTGCTACACCTCCGGCGAGCAACCCAGTTCTTGGCACCGAGCCAATGCTCCCGCAGGCGGCCAAAGTTACCGCGCCGACTCGGAGACGTCGAAGCAAACCCAAGACGAACCAGTCCACTGAGGGCAGCCGTCAAGCTAGCGTTGATCAGCCTCATATGCAGAGAATTTCCCAGTACCAGGACAGAATGACGCCAGTCTCGAGATACAGCAACGAGCCTCAGAACTCATACACCGACTTCAGAGCTGACGTTCGTCAAACGACAAGCTACGAGCGAATGCCCGCGTCTTTCATTTCTGAGATTCGGCCGTCTGGTACTGATTTGAGTCAATCCTCGCTTCCTGGAGCCTATGAGCCTTTTAACTCGTACGATTCTCTGGCGCCCGACTTCAGAATTGGTGGTGTTCGTCAGCCGATAAGCTACGAGCGTACGCCTCATCATTCTTCTTTCGGCACACGTCCATCTGCTGCTGAGCCGCGTCAGTCGTCGACTCCTAGAGCCTATCAGCCTTCGAACTCATACACTGCTATGGAGACCGCATCCACAGAGTATGGTCGTCGTCAGCAAGAAATTCAACAGCGTATGCCCACACATTCTGCCCCACGCATGCAGTCGTCAGCTAGTGAGCTGCGTCAATCCTCGGTCCCTAGTCCCTATTCGAATCCGAACCCATTCTCTGCTTTAGAGACCGATTTCACAACTCACGGTCGTCAGCCGGGAAACCAAGAGCGTATGCCCACGTCATCAACTTCTACGACGCAGCCGTCTGCTACTGACTTGCGTCAATCATCGCTTCCTGGAGCCTATCCTCGCCCTCTGGCACCTACACCTCAACCCGACATCGAGATCCTAGAGCCCTCCATGCCAGCGGTAGCGCCCGCTATGAACCGCTCGTCTTTCCAGCAAGCATCGGATCATACTGCCTCAAGCAACTCTTCGAGCCAAGTCGATCCCAAGGCCCCGGGACCTCCTGTTCAGGACAAGCTTGGCAGGTTGTTCCCTCCTCAGTATAAGACATACGAGGAGTTCTGGGTGAGTGTTCCCGATGGCGCGGACTATGCCTTGAAGATGATCGAGAAGGGGTGGCCTTCTCACATCGCTATGCAGCTTGCCCGAGAGCGTATAGCTATGAACATGGCTTCGTGGCCTAACAGCATCTACTCGCTTCACTACAAGCCGAATGCGGCGCCAACCCCGTTCCCGGGTGTTACCGCTAGCATTCGTAGAGAGATTGAAGCTGAGAAGGCCGCCGCTGCTCAGAAGCGCAAGGACAACGACCAGGCAGACAAGTGATTCGGCAGACGCCCTTGCTAGCAGAATCCGGCAGCGACCTAGTAGCGTCGACGAGCATCAAAGCATCAAGAAGCGAAAGGTGGCAAGCCTGGCTTGACGGAAAGGATCCATCAGTTGCATTGCGGGACATACTCTGCCTAATATGAGGCAACATAAAAGAAAAAAAAGCACAAAAAAAACACCATTACAGCAGAAAAGTTGACCAAAGATGCTAGATATGCGACCATCGCGTCTCCTGGTTTGCAAGAGCTTTCTTGCTATATCGATCGTCTCTTCTCTTGCTTCTTTATATTTTTCAACAAGACAGGTTTTGGTCTTCGTTGCGTATCGCGCTCCCAGTAGGAGGGTTTGCTTTCAGGTTTGGGAAGGACTCAGGATTCGGATGGCTTTCTCTTTGGCTCATACCTCTATGGATGGCTTGCAGATGACATTGGTTCGGAGTATGATACCCATTTGGGATTCGGGAAGTTTTTCTTGGGGAAAAGGCCCCTTAATTTTGTTGAGATACCCATCGCATCAGTGCGATTTCTTGTGAAATAGAAAAACATCAGGTTGCGCAAAATGACGCCCACTTTGATTCGTGATGCAATTAATAACGGCCTCATGAGATGTCGTTGAGCCGGGCCGTCAGAAATGCCACCAGTATTATGTAAGTCGGCGATGAGCTAAGTGAACAGGGATTAGTGACGGCGAGCTGTGGGTCGACCTTACATCACCGAGCTTCCCTCACCGAGCGCACGCTCAGCCAAGTTACAGAAGCACTGCCTCCCACTTCCAACCCGCCGATTACCCCAAATCCACATCCTTGGCCGAGCTCCCGTCCCACGCGGCCTAACGACGATCCACTCAGCAACAACGACACCTCTCCGGCCAAGCCCTCACCATCTCCGGTTCACGAATTCTCAAAGCCTTCGTCGAATTGCTTCACCAAGCAGTCTCCAGAGACAAATTATCTATCAGCGCACCGCATTTCCCGCCACACGAACGAGGACCGAGCAAGCTCGATAGCCCCCAGCCCGGCCCCCTTCGCCAACCTCCGTCCACCGACGCTCTCCTCCGTATACACGAGACACATCTACACATACCGCACACCATGGCGCCTCCTCGCATCGAAGCACAAGAAATCGAGACGTATTGGAACATCTTCTCCACCCGGACGGGCGGGGGCCAGTTCCTGACGGGAGAACAGGCCGCGCCGGTGCTGAAGAATAGCGGCCTGACGGACAACCAGCTCGAGAGGGTGTGGGATCTCGCTGACGTCGACAATGATGGAAATCTCGATTTTGAGGAGTTTTGCGTTGCCATGAGAGTCATTTTCGATATTCTGAATGGCGTGAGTATACCTTGAGTCGGATGTGCAGTGAAAGAGAGAGTATTGCAGAGGTACTAATCGCATTCGGATGGGCAGGAATACTCAGATGTCCCGACGACACTCCCCGATTGGCTCGTCCCAGAGTCCAAGGCACATCTTGTCCAGGCGAATCGCGCGCTCACAGGAAGGCAAGTGGCGTTTGAGCAGGTCGACGACGATCCAGACTCGCCAGGGCTGAAGGACGGATTTGACTGGTACATGAGCCCAGCGGACAAGTCCAAGTACGAGTCGATATACCAAGAGAACCGGGATGCACGGGGACAAGTAGCATGTAGGTTCACTTGTGCGAGCCCCTTCTATGGCGGTTCGCTTTACTAACGTTGCATTCGTTCATAGTCACTGCTCTCGAGGACCTCTACGAATCCCTCGACGTCCCCGACACCGACATCCGCTCTGCCTGGAACCTCATCAACCCCTCAGCCGGCCCCTCCATCAACAAGGACGCCTGCCTCGCCTTCCTCCATATCCTCAACAACCGTCACGAAGGCTTCCGCATCCCACGCACCGTCCCTGCCTCTCTGCGCGCTTCCTTTGAGCGCAACCAGATCGACTACCAACTAGACAACCAGACTCCCGGCGCCTCCCGATGGGCGACAAAGGCCGACGACTCGACAGCGACGGGCCGCAAGGCCAAGTTCGGCGACCAGTACCTCACCCGCCTGGGCCGCAGCGGCTTCAAGTCCAGCGGAACCGATTTCTCCACGGCCAAGACGGACGACTGGGAGGAGGTCCGCCTTAAGAAGCAGCTGCAGGAGCTGGACGAGAAGATGGCCCGCATCGAGGCCGACGTCGAGCGCAAGAAGGGTGGTAAGCGCGACGGCAAGCCCGCCCTCGTCAAGCGCGAGCTCGAGCAGCTGCTCGACTACAAACGCAAGGAGCTCAAGGACCTCGAGAGCGGTGCCGGTAAGGGCCAGGGCGGCGGTGGTGGACTGAAGGGGGTATCAGATGATTTGCAGACGGTCAAGGAGCAGGTTGAGGGTCTCGAGACGCATCTCGCGTCGCGGCAGGGTGTGCTTGACCAGCTGCGGAGGGAGATTGAGGATGAGAAGTCCAGCAGATGAAGATGAGAGAGGAAGACGGAGAGTGAAGGACGGAGGGAGAGGAAAAAATCCAAATTTGACAGCGTCTTCTTCTGGTGCAGGGCGGGCGGCTTGCTTGGGTTATCTTTTATATGTTGTCTTCTTCCGAGGTAGGGATGATGGGCCCGGTCTGGTTTGGGTACCCCTTTCTCACGTCCAATTCAGGGAGTTATTTTTCCATCTCTACGCATATTCTACGTGCATGTAAGACTATAATGTTTGCCGTTCCGCTGCTTAGATCAATGAGATGCAGAAGGGGGAATTGGAGGGGGCTTGAAGTTGAAGACTGTGCTTCCAACAGATAGAGAACAAAGGTTTAGCGGACGATGCATGGGAATTCAAGTAATGGATTTCTTTCTCAATCTTCCTTTGGCGACCTGTCTCTCCTAGCGACAGCCTGGAGTTATCAGGACTGGTGAGTGACCATAACGCAGCCCTAAATATGGAAATGGGGGCTAGAAACGGTTCAGATGTGGTGAGAGTATTGAGACCAGACTATTAGCCACGTCTCCGTGCGTTGTAACAGATTATTGGAATAGAACCGTATAAGTGTAATTACATGAATCAGAAACACCTCCAAATCGTGCGCCCTGCTACCAAACGCCGAAGCCGTGCTCCTGCATCTTGATTCCGGCTCGCCATCACGAGCTCACCACTGGCCACCGTTGGCATACGGCACGGCCATGGGCAACCCCAGGTTCCGGCTCTTGACGGCCCAGATCATCAGGGAGGGAGCCTTGACCCAGCCGATGCGGCCCGCGCCGCGGCTGCGACCCGTGGCGCAGACGTAGACGTCGACGGGCATGCCTTTTACGACGGCTTGGTCTTTGCCTTTGATTGTGAGCTCAATGTTCTTAGCGACGCCGGCGGCCTGATACGATTGGTGAAAATGTTAGTCATGTATAAGAGTAGAGGGGAAAAGCTGCAAGAGAGATAGAGAACAGGGGAGAGCTTGAGGGATGTGACGAACCTGTTTATCCGTGAGCATGAAGCCCGCCCTCGGAAACGAGATGATATCCCCGCATGCCCAGACGTTCTCGACGCCCTTGACGCGCATGTACTCGTCCACATTCACATACTTGCGCTCATTCAGCATCCCGGCGTCGAGGTACTCCGTATTCGGCACGAGGCCCATGGTCGGCAGGTACAAATCCGTGCGGATGACCTCGCCGCTCATGAGCTTGACCTCGGTCTTACCGTCCGGCAGCGGGCGGGAGTTGGCGACGCGCGCGTGCTTCCGGACCTGCACGCCGAGCCGCGTGATCTCATTCTCGACGGGTTTGGCAATGGAGTCGCCCGCGAGGATCTCGTCTTCGGCGGCGAGGAGGTGGACCTCCTTGTCCTTGAACTCGAAGCGGATCTCGGCGGCGACTTCGACGCCCGTGGGACCCGCACCCGCGACGACGATGTGATTTGCGGTCTTGACCTTTTCAGCTGTCGCGTGGAGGAGGCGGAGGGTTTCTTCGTGGGACGTTGAGGATTTCCACGGCATGTCGGGGGATGCGGCGCGGGCGCCGGTGGCGAGGACGAGGTAGTCGTACGGCAGGGACCTGGGGCCGGAGGCGGTCGATACGAGGGCGGATTTGCGGGCCATATCGAGACCCGTGGCGGTGCCGAGGACGAATTCGAAGGATTCCTTCGGGTAGGATGCAAAGCCGGGCTCGATGGGCTGGAAGATTTGGTCATCTTTGACGATGCCCGGCACGATGGCGCGGACGGAGCCCATGTTCCAGTAGAAGTGAGTTGTCTGCCATTTTGCCGTCAGCCCTTGCGCAACTACTTTTCCTTCCGTTTCTGTTCTTTCCGAGGCACTTCCCAATCTTTTGTCCTCATATAGCTCATTATTCCTCATGTGTTTTGAATCCCCATGAGGCAGAGGTGACATGAAGTGTGGGTCGTCCGCAACTGTCTTACGCCGCCCCCACGGGCCTCCGAAGCTCGGTGACACGCCCAGCTTCTGTAAAGGTCGTCCGATTTTGAAAATTCGAGAATGCTCAAGTAATTTGATATATACCAATCAATGTGTAGGAAAGCCTCTCACCTTTGAAACCAGGACCACTCTGAGGTCCGGCTCTGTTTGGCGTGTGTACTTGAGCATACGATGAGCCACGGCCAGACCGCCGTATGCGGCGCCGAGGACGACAACAGTCTTGACCATATTGACTATTTCTTGTTCCAATTCTCAAGCAGACTATGTGCCTCTCAGTATTGGTGAGATGAGCAATGGGCGAACAACTCGTCTCGGTGGAACTAAAAAATGGTATCAGTCGAGTTGTCAAAGTGCTGTTTGTTGATGGATCCTTCAAGGAGCTGCTGGATATCTTCAGATCAATACACACCCTTTACCCAGAGCTGCGAGGCGTCTGGTATTTATTCCCCTCCATAGCATGCTCGGGCCCGGGATACATCAAAGCCTGGTGGCATCCTTGCGGCATAGATCCTATGCCCCTCTCCATCTTATCTCACAAAAGTCCGGATACGCGTCCCCTCGCCAGGCTGCGCTAATGCCAATGAAGAACGCGAATTGGTGCCATTAGTATTTTTGGTCT